ATTTACAGAAATGGACGCCATCGCATTTCCAAACCTTAACCTAAAGGACCAGAAGGCAGAGTTTGTCTGGCCTCCAATCCACTTCAACGCTGCACACAACACCATAGTGTTCAACATGGCACTTGAAAGTAACAATACTCTGCCATTCTTAGATGTCCAGATCACCAGGATATCGGACGGGAAAGTACAGAGAGTACACAGAAAAGAAACTTGGAGGGGCCAGTATATCTATTTCGCTGGTTCTGTTTCAATACTTCGTAAATGAACCCTCGTCCGTTGTCTAACGGAACGAACGAAGAGAATATGCACGGAGAGCACGCTCTCAGATGAGTTGGGTTTTATTCGGAGTGTCCTCGAACAAAATGGTTACCCAGACAAATTCATCCGGAGACACGTGGAGCCACGAGAACCAAAAGTATAATCTGTCTCCGAAGAGAGGCGGTTAATCTACTTATAACTGCCTTTCATGGGCGACTTGCTAGCGGAACGAGTCATCCGAAAGCTCTCCCAAGCCACCGCGAGAACCTACTATGCAGCTGAACTGCGTCAGTTTCACTTCTAAACAGGTCGTGAGTCAACAACTCGTAGACAGGATAACTAGGTCGAATATTTCCTTCTGTGTGTACCACTTACCTTGCTGGCGTGGAGCGAGTTATTTTGGAGAAACGACAAGGCGATTGGCTGAGAGAGTCTGGGAACATTGCCCGGAGTGGCTCTATACCGGTGTAAGAAAGACTGTAGCGAGTGCGGTGCCGTGGCACTTGGCCGACTCGAATCACCAAAGCATCGTGCGAGAGGCCTTCCAGCCGACTTACCTGATATGCGGACGCCGACTATTAGCGACAGCAGAGGCGATCGCTATTCGGCTCCAGAATACCAAGTTTGTCTAGGCTCTTCAATTACCCTGGCTCCAAGCCGCCCCGTGCAACGACGATGCCTTTAACCCTTCAGTAATGTAGCTCCAGCCAGTGCCATCACTTAATCTCATTGACCGGATAACTCGCATTACTGATTCATCGTATTTAAATGTGCTGTGTTAGTCGCATTTCTGTTCGTTGTGATGTAACGGGTTGATGAGGGCCACCGAAAACAAGGTTGTTCGCCCAGCTGTCTTTTACTTTTGATAAGCTCCAATCATTGAGCAACGTGGTAGAAGTAGCTCTCAAGAGACCCGAGGGCCCTAGTCAGTACAGCTCAATGGGTCGAAGAGGTACACAAACCGTCGCCCCATGTTAAGATCCAGTCCCGTTGTGACGTTCTTGTCCATCCGTCCCCGAATCTTTTCGTCGCATCATTTTTGACACCTTTCACAATACCGCTCATCCGTGCACATCAAGAGCACCGTTAAGCTTATTGCAGAGAGGTAAGTCTGGCCTGACATGCAACGCGACATAAGGCTCTGAACACGTAGCTGCTTAATCTGTCAGAAGGCCAAGATTTAGTGACGCGTGTCTGCTGCATTTGGCCGTTTTCCCACAATTAGTTATGCACATGCCCATCACGACATAATTGGACCGTTAGCACCGTCTAAGGGTATGGTCTACATCCTGATCATGACAGATCGCTGCACATGTTGGCTTGGAGCTACTCCGATTCCCGACGACGCAGCTGAAACGGTCACACGAGCATTTGTTGATCGCGGGGTCGCAGCTCACGGTTGCCCTGTAACCGTGATTACCGTTAGTGACCGCTAATTTGTACCCAGTACCTTCGTAGGGGCACAGTGTTAAGCACTCATCGCATTCGTAATACAACCTACCAGTGTGCTTCGAATGGTAGGCTCGATCGTTTGTAGGTAGCTCAAAACGTCCCTCAGTGCAGCTGATACACTCAACTGAACGGAAGCCTTAGTGATGGTACTGCAGGGCATCCACTCAGCAATCAAGACTGACCATACTGTTAACGCTGAATTCGTTTATGGCCAAACCCAAAGATTTCCTCTCTTGCATTCCAAAGTTTTGTTGTTACGACGCTAAGTACGCCCAACAACTAGCTGCTAACCTATGATTATCTCGACCGTTCGAACCCAGGGAACTCAAACGTAAGTCTTTCGTTCCTCGAAACCTAAAACATTGTTGGTACGTTTTCGTCCGCGTTAACAACATTTACAAACCGTTAAGCGCCCATAGGAAATGCCATTTAAGGTCATACAACGCAAAGACCGAGTCGTTATTATTGAACGCTACGGCAAACGCGAAGCGGTTAGCATTAATCGACTCAAAATTACTTATTTCGAATTCGATGACAACCTCGAAGACAACCATAGGTCACAGGCCCCACCACTTCCAGTCAAACCAGACAGAACAACGACTGCCACTCCAAAGACTCCGACACATGACGCAGTTCCCAAATCGGCCGCGTCCACAAGTCTACTAGCTCGGGCACGCGAGTTCATGGGTTTGCGCGTCCAAAAGATTGACGTGCTTTACACTTTCTTTACCCACACATTCATCTTAACCAGACAAAAAATCTCAAACAAGACAACAAAGTGTGTTGAAAACCCAAAAAGGAACAAAATCTGTTGGGAACACAAAAGGTTGCGTTTTATCCTCTTATTGCAATCGGCAAGTGTTGTCGTTGTTTGTTTGCTCTGGTTGATTGCGCGTGCTTGACGTACCGCTATAGTTACTTCCTCTTCATACCTCTAACACGCAAACTCTCGAACGTTACCGGAGATCATGTGGGCAAACGCTGTTATCGAACACTACGTCTTCCTTTTTGACACTCATAGGGAAAGCACGGGTGGGAGCCCGCTAGGGTACGATCGCGCTAGTCATCCCCCGGTAGGTGCGTCAGGTTTTACCACCTGGGCCGCAGAAGACTGGCTGGAGACGGACAGTCCTGACATAAATCGAAGGTTCACTCACAGGTTCGTTTCTAGGAGGGGGCTGTGTAGTGACCTGGAGATTTCCCCGTATGATGTGCAAACTAGTACCAAAGTATAGTTTCATTTGTACCCAGGAAAATTAGTCAGTTTGTCGCACGTTTATATGCACATACATTCGGAACGCGACATGAACGCTGCCTCCTTTCGCACCCAGAACATGCTTTCTTTCCTTTCGTTAGCTAGCATTACTTTGGGTGCCCATTAGCCAAACGAGTCTGTATATTTCGTCACTAAACGTATCACCCGCCAATTAACTTTTTCTATACGGTTGGCCGGTTGGGCGAATATAGCGCCCGTCTGTCGATTGCATTATAAGGTTGGCAAGGTGCCTACCTATCGAAAACCGGCACATAGAATGCTGCGTTCAGGAAACCGTCAATCGTTGCTGGAGGGATGGGGTGCACAGTTTTCGTGAAGGTGCTAGGCTGAATGAGTAGTTCAATCCAGTGTGGAACGGATTGCGGCCCAGCCACCGCTTTGTGTACATCTGGTATGTTTGAGCATTGAAGCCGGTGGGCTGAAATGCGGGTGAGAAATTTAGGCTTCGAAGGGGCAAGGCACTTACAGTGTCTGGATGCCTCCAGTATCAAATAATCAAAGACGAACTGTATAAGCGGCGGGTCGTCAATGAGAATCGGCTACGCAGTTAACTTGAAGAAGTCCGGAGCCAAAAGCTCTCAATGTGACATGTTAAATTGCAAAACTGGATTCGAGAGGGGACAGATAGAGCCCTTATCATACGCTGCTACATACAGTGAAAAGAGCAATCGTACCGTAAACAAGCACTTTATCGGAAACAGGGAGTTGTAGAAAGGAGAGGAAGATAGCATACTTCGATGGGGCCTCAGTCTTTGGAACGTATCGCTATAGAGTAGACCAATCGACGAAATCGAATGTCTAGAAATGCAATGACGGTGGGCCTCTGGCGGATTTTCAATCCGGAAGTGAGCACGAACCATGCGAGAATACAGACATATTCAAAAGCGCGTGCGGTAAAACGCAAAAAGTTTCGAAGGCTAATGTTCCTCTGTCATCAACTGAGCTACGCTAGGTGGCACTTTCCAAGTGTCGCCTAGCCTTACTCTCATACCGGGCAGGTTGTGAATAGAGGCAGTGGAATTGTAGAAAAGGTATACAAAACATGCGATTTTCACATAAACAAATACTGTCGACAGTCCCAGCCGCAAATCCAGAGGACAACCGAGGTTGAGTATATCTGGACTGATCTTTTTATCCAGATAGCTTAATGGATGAGGAGATGTAAATAATCTGTCGCATTATGCCAAGAGAGCTAGCCTCGCTGCGACGAAAACGGTGTTTTAGATGGGACCCGGAAAAGCGATTCGTTCCCTGTTTCCTAGACGTAAGTGGGAATAAGGGGGGACAACTTTATCTCCCTCAAGTGGCAAGTTGGCTAGCCAGCCAGTTGTCGAAAAGAGGTAAAATAGGGGGACAAAGAGCCTTCTAAACCGAACGTCGAAGTTCAAGCAGGTGGACCAGATCGAGCAATAATCTTGGGTAGAGGTGCTGACTTGTAGCTGATGGCAATGTGGCCCATATGGGTCCGAGTTTTATTTTCTTTCAGTGGGGAAAGTAAAACCGTATGAAAGTTAGAATGCGAGAGTAGCTGGGTTGTGAAAGTCTCTAAGGAGAACTGGCCTATTAGGGGAATATTAACCTACCTCACCAAGAGTGAAGTACAGCGGATGGGTGGTAACTGTAAAGTGGACCGCATAGCAGTAACACATGGGGTCAAACACCTTTAGGCGTATGGGCAAATTGTAAAATAAGTCGAGAATCATGAGCTGAAACAAAAAACCGTTTTGGTAGAAGAAACGTGAGGGATATGCGGAATGACTTAAGTTGATGAACCAATTAGAGAAAAATTCCTGCGTTCCCGTTCCCGTTTCCGCTACCGATGAACCCGGGTGCACACATCAGGACGAAGAATGGTGAAGTCAAGCAGTATACAATCAGCTAGCTCAGTTTGGACAATGAGAGATTAGCAAGACGGCGTTTATGCACAGTGCTTAAGCACAAAATCTACATCAAATGTCAATTGTAACCATTGGAGAAAGCAGTACGTGTGTGGAAAGATGAAGCCATCACTTACCTGCTGTAGTCCACGAGGCTGGCTATCCTCGAGGTATAACATAAGCACGGAGATCGCCGATCGCAGTGGTTCAGAAGACAATTCGAGCTTCGAAGGAAAAGTAAAGGAAACACACTTAACCTACCCTAGAGCATAACGATCCGAGTTCTAGAAGCAGTTGCCTCTGCACCCGATATGATGTGAGATAACGGTATGAGTCAGTGGCTCCTGCACTGTAAAAAAGATAAAAAGCAAAGTAGCGTGAGTGTGGAGTAAATTGTGTTTACGAGGCCCGAATTAATGTCAAAAAGCAGGATGGAAAAGACCAATGGCTGAGGTATGAAAGAAAAACAGATGGTGAGCGAACGATGGATGTCGTTTCAGGTAAAAAGAGTGAGAATGTGGAGGGCAAGTATGGAGAATACTTATAGATCGAGGTGTGAATGCGAAAGTCGGCTTGTTCTCCGAGCTGGGTGGTTTGATTGTAGACCTTTCGGTGTCATGCTAGGCAACATCACCAATGCTTAAGAAGTTGAGATCATTACACTGCAAAAGCAAAGACATCGTCACATTAATCCAAAGACATGAAACCTTACGGAAACTTGAACATCAAACTCAACAGTCCAGGATTGCCGAGGAAACCCGAGTCATCACAAATACAAAGAAAGCTCGTGTCCTGATGCAATTACTCAAAAGAAATCCGAAAAGATACCACGAAATTCCACAGCTAGTTTTAAACGACGGTACGGCAACAGACGATATAGTCCAAACATGTGATGCGAGGAATCCCTACTCTGCCTCCTCGTTTACCACTGTACCATCTGTATCCTCTGCTCTCCTTCGAAAGAGAACGGAAGAGGTATTACGTCCCATCCCTCTGCATCTTAAGGATGTACAGATGACTAGAATATCTAACAAATTGACTTTCCAACCACGACATGATGGTATTACCCTTGCAGCTATAAAATTAGGTGGCAAAAACACATCTCTCCACATGTTGAATATTTTTTACACTGCCACTGAACACTAGTTGCGTGCCGCCACAGTGGAAAAATTCCGTAATTTTACCGAAACGCAAAAGCGGTCCATGAGATAGAATGTCAAATTATCGACCGATAAGCCATACCTCTTACGCTTCTAAGGCCTTAGAGAGAATCGTCAAGACACGGGTAACACAGTTCCTGACAAGACAAGACCTAATCAGCAGCTCCAAACATGAGTTCAACACAAACCGTTCTTGTGTCACATGCGAATTACAATTCCTCGATCATGTTACAACAAACTTAGATGACGGCATGGCCATCATCATCATCCATCTGGATATGCAAAAAGCGTTTGATTGTGTACCGCACAAACCATTGTTGGACGTGCTGGAGTCCTATGGAACCAGCAAGCCTCTCTTGAGCTGATTCGAACTATATCTTAACGGCCGAACACAAAGAGTACAGATTGGTCAATACTGTTCTACTTCCAGAAATGTCACGAGCGGTGTTCTTCAGGGCAGTGTATTGGATCCATTGCTTTTCCTTTTTGACGTAAACAATATATGTGATTACATTAGACACAGGCGCCTATTTGTATTTGCCGATGACATCGAACTAGTGTACTCATTCCTATCTGGCCATTTGGAACTGTGCTTAAAAAATATACGCGAGGACTTATCATCTCTAGACAAATGGAGCGAAAGCAGGTCAATGAGGTTTTCTGCAGATAAATCTCAGATACTGTCACAGATGCAGTAAACCAGAAGGATCCATCACTCTCACTGGCACCCCCATCCCAACTGTGTATTTCGTTCGAGATCTAGGAATTCGATATTCGAGCAGCTTCAACTTCACCGAACACATTCTACATCAAAAAGCGAAAGCAAAACAAGTAACAAGCTATATCACTAGGTCATTTTCCCTATCCCAAACACGAGTTGAATTATTCGAACTCATTGTGTGTTGCACCATCATTTATAGCCATTTACGTAAAACAGATAGAATTGCTTTGGACAACGTCCAGTGCGCATTTACCAAAATGCTCATGTGGCGCTCATCATCACTTACCTAGCAGGAGCAATGTTTTCACCTCCAACTCGATCCACTGTGGCTTCGACGGCATAATATTCTCGCGAGTTTGCTCAACCAGTACGACCATCGCATTACATAAGGACCCAATCTATCCCATTCGTAATGGGAAAGGTATACTATCCTTACAGAGGACCAAGAAAAGTATCTACCTAAAATCCTTCTTGGTGTGGTACGGCCACCAGTGGAATAAACTTCCGTTGCTACTGACTAGTTGTAGGTAGTAGGGGGATTTATCAGGTTTTTGTGTAGGTTCGTCGCAGGTAAACACAGGCAGACAGCCATCACACAGCCAGGAAAGCGCTAGACGGCCGTTGCATCCTACTGGAACTCGTCAGTAGCGCGCACCAGCCGAATACTGCCGGATTCGAACCCACGACCTTACACTTGCGAGCCAGTAGTCGCCTTAGCAGCTTACATCCCACCTCGATTGGTGGGGGCTTGCAAAGTAGTCGTTGCTCTGGAGGCCAGCCCTATACTCTGCACATTCATAACATGCAAGACAGTGGAGGATGAGGTGCGCTATATCGCAGTTAGATATCAGTCATGGCGGTCCGCTGCCGTCGCCCATGGCTCAGTGACATAAGTCGCTGACTCGCAAGTGTAAGGTCGGGGGTTCGAATCCGGTAGGATTCGGCGGGTGCGCGCTACTGAGGAGTCCCAATAGGACGAAATGGCCGTCTAACGCTTTTCTGGATGTGTGGTGGCTGTCTATGTCTAACCGCGATAAATCTACAGAGAAACCTAATAACTCCCCCCACTACCTACATACAATTGCAAAATGAAATGATGACGAAACCCGCTGTACAAATGATGGTTTCACAAAGGGGAACGTGTCCCGCTTGTCCGGAAATATACCCATTTAATTCTTTAACATCAAGGATACTGACTGATCGACAAACCATGCTTAAAAGAGTAGTCAGACAACCCGTACACGACAGCGAAAGGATGGGAGAGGAGACAACCGAATGCGCAGACCACACCTGATGTCCAATTAAAGCGTTAGCTAAGCATAATGAATCGTGCTAGAAACACAACCAAAGCATAACGCAGACGGACGACCAAAAATTGTCCCATTGCGATTACGGGGCCGAAAATTGCTCATATGCTTCATAACAATGCGCTGTGGATGACACCCAATGGTCGCTTACATCAGTGATGCCACCTGGCCACCGTAAAACGGTGAATCCGTCACAAGAAGCATTTAGAAGCGCCTGCGCAGCAATGCTTGTAGGTGTGAACAGATTAAACGGAGCGCAAGTAATATGGGACGTGAAAAGCGCGGACTCGGTAGACAGTGATACGCGTGTAAGAACAGCTTTTCCCTCGACCACATTCCAATGCAGCGAAAAGACTGGTGTGAGAAAACTTGTGGATCGTGTGAAAAATGACTACGCCTTACGATTTGTTCTCATAAACCACCTGCGTACATGGTTTGTCAGAACAAAACGGCAATTTATCGATCTAGCGCAAATCTAATAAATTAAGTAAACAATAGAGCATGCATGGGAGAATGATAAACGTAGATTCTCGATCAGACGATGGTCCGTGCACACCCCATATAATGCATGTAACAACATCGCATCGGATAAACTGACACGGACAGCGGCAGGAGTACGAGAAGTTAAGATTGTTTCTTTGCAGACAACAAGAAAGGAGTTGATTTTTAAACTTGATATACCTTTCCAGTAAGAGTCAGCAGAAGTAACCAAGTGTTCTCGGCAATTCTTCTACGGCATTGGCACACCGTAAAGGTCAGTACGATGCCCTCAATTCTAGATTGGCTGTCAACAATCACTGTCAGCTGTAGCCTGTGCGTGATTTCGTGGGTCAGAGATCATACTCCGTTTGGGTAAGGGCTGTTCTGATGTCTGAGTGAGCCGGCTCTGAACACTTCAATCTGGTTCGTACAGACAGATTGCGACAGATTCAGCGGATTCCAGTAACCGCTTAAGTTCGCCCTATGATTGTCCGTAAAGTGCCTAATAGAAAACTTCAAGCAACTCCATCGATTCAGAGGTGTCGCCCGCGTCGGTGAGATGTGGGTAATGTATTCGAAATCATAAAGAGTCAATTGCTTTCGCAACCAAGCCACAAAGGATAGTGTTATCTCACTACGTTGTACATGTACATTACCGTAGGACCAATGTATATTGCGGCACAACAGCAGAAGCATGAGTCGATGAACAGTGATTTAGGGTGCACAGGCCTCTTACCATCGGAGTAAACTGTTACCAGTGGGATACCGATGAACCTGATCTACAATTCCGGTCGCTGGGAAAGTGGACGAGAGACTGCGAATAAGGATTCCTGCAGCAACCTTGCCCTTGTACGGCAGCTGTAGGAAAGTTCGACTCCTCTCGATTATGGGAGCCATTTCTGCTCCACCTTCGTCTTAATAATGCTATCTGAATAACCATTATCCCTCGATGTCAGGCGTATGCACTGCAGCACTTTGGAAAGTGTTGCAGTGCATATGTCCGCTGTGGAAATTCGTGTATTACGTATTACAAGCACAGTTGCTACACACACGACGTGGCGTACCGCTATCGAGTCGCCTCAAGGCCACGTCTAGGAAATAAAAGGAATGGTTTTCTTCACCTCTGAGGCAAAGTACGGTGGAATTTGTGCTTAGTTGAATGTACTGGTGAACTCAGAGATGCCTCGGGAAGAGTGGAGCAGTATGAAATGGCATATACGTAACGACAATACAGGCTGGTGGCGGATATTGAGCTGCCTCTTTTAGCATGCGCATGAATACGTCAACGAGGAACGATCCTGTTATGGTTGCGCAAGGAGGAACAAATACTGATGGGCACCCACCGACTTTTAGCCGGTATACCGTGGTATTGTCAGAACACGTGATATTTGTTGGTAGTGTGTTTCGGCAAGGTGAACACAAAACCGGACAAGACAATTGCCATTAGCACAAAACGGTTGTGTGCTTTAGTCGTAACATGTGTGCTTTTATAGCAGGTGGGTTTTTCACAA